TTTTTTTTTTTTTTTTTTTTTTGGTGCTTTTGTATTTCTTCCTTTTAACTATTCTCTTGGTTGCAGTGGTTTTGGTCAGTGTTTCCGTTCTTAAGGGTTCTAGTTTGCAGCCCCTTTTCTGCTTTTCTTTCTCTCCTTTGGGAGATTGTATCTCTGAACATTTTTCTTCTTTTCCAATCATAAATGAACATTTTGTTTCTTGTTTAAATAAAAAGTAATGTAGTATGTACTCCCTGCCTTCCGCAACTGTGTAGATCGCTAATTTGTTAATGAAGAGGTTAGTAAAATTATGATTCAACAAACAGATCAACAAACTAGCAATAGAAAATATCTTCAAATGTGCTTGAGGGGAGTGTTATTTTTATGCTTTTAGTTAATCAGTAGTTTTTATTATTTACGGTGTTATGTTAGCTGTATTAGTATATGAATATATTTGTAAGATTATTTCTTTTTATGGACATCTTTCTCCTACTGATGTGGTACATTTGAAGAAACCTTGTTAAAATCATTGTGAATCTGACAATAATTTTGTTAGATACATACATTCCTCTTGATATTTAGTGAAGTAAAAAAAAAAAAAAAACTTTGTGATTTATTCACCTTCATTTTATTGATGAGGTTTTCTGTTATCATTTGATTTTGTAGGATGCTTGCTCACAAATTTGTTCAAAAGACGGTGGAATCGGACCAGTACTTGAAAAAAACAAAAGCGAAGAAATCTTGGTGGTCATTTGGATGGTATCTAGTTTTCTCTCTATAACTCAGATAATATCGTTCCTAGAACTACCATAATTTGTTTCATATTTTATAGAACAATCACAAACAGTTTTTTGTATAATGGATCCACTACCAAAAAATTACTGTGTAATCACAACAGAGCCGACTATTATTGAACACTTTTTCTCTAATCATTCCATCTTACCTAGTTCATTATTAGTCAAAATAGTCAATATTTTAGGGATACTTTGGTGTGTGCACTCGATCAGGAACAATCAATCATTCAAAGATGAAGAGGAACAATTTTTTAGTCAAGAAGACTGGGAACAACTGAACAAATTTATAGGGTATAAGGAAGAAGAAAATTCAATTTCCATCATAAATGCTAGCAAAGAGGACGCTCTTCTTACTTCTTTGGAGGTTCACATGAACCGTAATGCATCAAAGCTTACTGATGAGGCACAACATTGTCTTGCTGAATTGTCATGTAAAAACTTGAACTGTTCCATGAAGTTTTTTCCAGAAACGAAAGTTTTTGACATCAATTTGGGGTCATATCAACTATCCTCGCCAAGTGGTCTCCTTGCTGTGGTCTGATTCAAACCCTTCCTTTTACTTGCGAACAATTAATATTTCCAAAAGCTTGACGAAGTAATTTGATTGCAGTGGAGCACTGAAATATATGTGTTTTGCAGAGTGCTGCTACTCATGATTCATTGGTTGGTATCTTCTGTTACAAGCCTTTTGATGTCAAAGTGGACTGGAGCTTGGTTGTGAAGGCTTCTCCTTGTTACATGACCGTAAGCTCCATCTTGATACTTTTGCAACTGTAGTTCTTTTTCCATGCCTTTCTGCTGATTAGCCCCTTTGTCCAGTATCTCAAAGATGTCATCGAACAAATTCTGAGCTTCTTTGAGAGCAGCGCTACTGTTGGTCAGACTGTGGCATTGGAAACAGCAGCCGCCTTGCAGGTGTAGTTTTGATCTTTGCCCACGATTGAAATGTTAAACATATTGCTTCTAACGGCCTGCTAATTTAGTTGGGTAAACTTCCGAGTCACTGATGTAATTTATTGGCAATCGTACTTATAATTGTTGAAGATATCAAAAAAGTTTCTGATATGAATCCAGATGTTAAATTAATATGAAGAGTATCTTGATATTGAAGTATGGTCTTAATGACTTGAAACGAAAGGTTCAGAAATTTCTAGTTCCGGACTATGTGGTATTAAAGGGAATGGTGGATTGTTTGTGATGAACATGGGTGTCATCATAATGTTCTATTATGAGCTTCACAAACAAGATAAAAAATCTCTCTCCTCTCTTAACCCTGTATCCTTAACCCTAACTGTCAGCTAACACTGCTGCTACTGCCTCGTCCATCGTCGTCGTTGTTCACTTGACCAATTGTCTCTCTTCTCCCTCCGATAACCACACATCTTCTCTCCGCTCACAACCCATGACCATTCGTCTTTCTCCCCCCAAGGTACCATTTGACTCAACCTTTATTCGTTATTCGCTTCTCCATCCCGAGACCACTTAGTGTACAACCACCAGAAATAAAACCTCAGAGTTCTTTTATTTCATTTAACAGTAAAAGATCACTAGTATTTATACTGTAGTGAATACAATTGAAGTTACTGTTGCTAACTAAACTAACTCTAACCAATGGCAATTAACACTTAACCAAGAGACCAACACTTCCAGTCCTTCACAAAGAGAAGAAATAACCATGGAAAAAATAAAGAAGCTACATAACTACATCAGCGTCTTCCTACCAAAAATGCAGCTTGCCCTTGAATCAACTGCTGGATAAGGAAACAAATCCGCGATCTTGATGACTGGATTGATCTTGTAATTGTCAGGAAAGTCAATTCGATAGGCATTATATTTACATCCTTCTGCAAAACAGCATAGCGTCAAACTTACTTGCCTGAAACTTATTATATGTTCCTTTAGGAAATTGAGCTTTCTTCAAACTTTTGTGTTCATCAACTTTGGCCTTATATCGGGCAGTAGTTTGTTCCAAATGATCCATAGCCTCATTGTGAAACTCTACAATCACAGTTGTCATGTATTTAGCTTGCTCATTCAAATTGATAGATGTTGTAGGAAAATTATAAAACAGGGCAACCTTTAGCTAAAAGCTCCTGAATTTGTTGTTCTGTGTAATTGTGACCTGTGAACTGCTTTTGTGCTTTTGCCAATCATGGAAGGTGGAAGTTCCTGTGTAGTTATGAAGAGAAAGGTCCAAGTCCCTCTTTCTTCTTATTTACATTGGGTAAGAAAGGATCATGAAGTGGTAAACATAATTTTCAGCAAGCTATTGGTTGTATTTAGATTGTTTTCTATGAACGGGAAAGGGATTAAATGTTCTTTAATAGATCATTTTAAGGTTTGTATTCTGCTCGATCCTTTCATGGTGGACAAGGCTTTATTCAAACTTAAAGCTGGCAACTCCCCGAACGGTTTAACATCCTACTGGATAATTGAAGCTCTATGGTGATTTTCTTTTGCTGAGTGAGAAGTGATGTAGTGATAAGGACACTTTCTAGAAATTATTGAAGGGTGGTGGGTGGATCTCAATCAAGAACTTGTGTACGACTTATTGGGAGCATATTATGTTTTAGAAGTTATTGACCATTATTTTTCTTAAGATTTTTGAGTCAATGTAATGGAAGGTGAATAAGTTGAATAATAATGGAAGGTGGTACATTTTCTTCTTGCTTTCAATGTATTTTACTATGGTGTCGTTGCTTATCATTCGAATTTTGATAAAGCCCTAGCAAGTTCCGTACCACTTATGTGTGTTTTGATTGTTTCATTGTTTTGTAGATGACAATTGAGGAAGTTAAGCGCACTGCTCAGCTCCAAGTGAATAGAGCATTGAAAGATCGTTCAAGGTTTCTGGTTCTCCTCCTTTGTGAGACTTCTAGTCTGTGTTTTTAGAACATAATTTTATCATATTGAATCATCATTTGAATGCTTAAAAACGTGAAAGAGCACTCATTTGGAAAAAGTTTCTGCTGCTGCATGGGGTTCACCACTCTAGTAATCAGTCTTTGTGGCAGTCATGAAGTAGAATGGGGTTCTGGTTATTTTCTTTTTGATTGTTGTAAATTGCATATGTATGAGGTTCTATGCTCGAACCAGTATATGTCATTTCCTCCCTACTAATTCTGATTTCCACTTTTTGGCCCTCTACAAATTTCCAATTCTATAAATCTTCAGCCCCCAAAAACAAAAATCCGATAAACCCTCAAAGCCAACTTAAAGATACTTTTAGCTTACGACTGCCATAGCATTGCAAAACTTACTCAAAGAAATTGAGCTTATTTTTTTTCCATTTTGTGTTCTTTCCATATATCAGTTAAAAAGAAGTCTTAAATTTGATTCAGTTATTGGATGTTCGAACCTTGTTTCTTATCATCTATTAATGAAAATTTGTTTCTTTTATAACAATGGACTTAAAGTACTTTCAATAGGCATACTTCCAACGGAAAGTAGTTCCACCACTAGAGGTAGGTCGTGATGGCAAGGAAGATTGCTGCAGGCGGGAGTTGGAATATGGGCAAGGTTGTGTAGAATGTGCAATGTTGTATGAGTTTGAATGGAATGAAGCCATCCCCATTTACAACACTTTGAATTGGAAATGGGATGTATTGGACGTTACCAATTTTAAGAACATAAAAATACCAAGTGTTTTATTTATGATCTAACAAACTTGTATACAAGTATCCTTGAATCAAGTGGAAATGGTGTCGAAGAAGGAAGAAAATGCATCTAGGTTGCGTAGCAAAGGAAGAATCTATATTATTGTATATCTCAACTCTCAATTAAAAATAAAAATATGTTTGCAAGCTCCAAAATGATTAAGTGTTGACGGTAGGAAGTACTGTGCATGAGACAAAAAGGAGGAGAAAAAGCCTCCGTTTAACCTTCTAACCTTATCGGAGCCAATTAATTTTTGTATTGAATTAAAGATCAAGAATTATGAAGGAGATATCTAAACCCTATGATATTTAATTGTGTAGATGCAAGTTATCCTATAGATGCTACCTACAATATTGTAAAATTTATCTCATATAATGTTTATCTGCTTTTAGGTTTCTGTTGGACTTGGATATTGCAGCTCCTAAGATTACAATTCCAGCGGAGTTTCATCTTGATGATATCAATTCAATAAACCTTCTGATTGATTTGGGGAATTTGTTGATTCGAACACAGGTTTGTACTAGTATTTAAAGAATAGAAGGGCTGTCATTCAAATTTATTTCTCTGATATTTTGTTACGTCTCTGCCTCTTCTTTGGGTCTGATATTGTTTTAAATTAGGAGATTACAGAATATAATCTGGATAACAAAATCCCATTACAATAACAATTACAATTGAATGCAAGACAAGACGACACTAAATAATAATTAAATGAATAATAGAGTTATTTAAATCAATCTTGCTTAAGAACTTTCTTCCAACAAAATCTCTCTCGCTGCATGAAGAAAGCTCAATTTATAGGGTGATTCCTCTTCTTACCAACCTAGCTAACCAACCAACAAAAAGAAAAAGAAACAAAAAACCTAGAAATAATGACTCATTTATTATTTCATACCAGATTCGGTTAAATCAATTTCATACCCCATGAGAAAATGAACTTATCCTCAAGTTGATCACGAAGAAGCCAACTGAAACTGAAAATGAAGATAGAAAAGTACTCTCACCTTTTCTTCTCTATGCTTTCCCTAATCTTTATCTTTTAGCCTTCATCCTGTCTTCAGATCTTGACTCAAGAAAGGACATCTTTTTGAAGTTGGAAATTTTCTTCTAGTGAGTGAGTTATTTATTTATTTATTTTTATAAATAAATTGGAGTGTCAAGTGAAGGAAATCCAACAATCGTGAGTAAACACAGAAAACCTGGAGCGACCAAAAAAGAAAATTAAGGAACCATCAAAGTTACAAATTCCCCTTTAAATTGCAAATGCCTTAAAACGTTGAGGAAACACTTAATGGAGAAAAAAAAATCCGCTGAAATAGTCTGGAAGAAAAACCAGATAGCCAAAGAACATCCGAAGCTATGACCAAATATAGCGATGTGCAAGAGCAACTCCTCAGCACTACCCAAAAGACAAAACTTGACAGAAAAAGCCAGGAAGATACCAATTGGAGAATCAGCTCCAACTTTTCTACAAAAGTCATATATTCTGTTTTTCTTCTTATTAAGACAAAATCCATCCAGACTATGTTCTTTCTATGTTTTCATGCCAAAGTCATTTAACCTTTCTTTGTTCTTATGTGACAACTTGTTCAACCTCGTGATTCTAGATGGTTTATTTGTATTGAGCTTTTTGAATGTATCAAGAAATTTTTTCATTAGCTACCTTATGGGCCAGCTTTGCCTCCCTGGGCTCATTGATTATGGGTTTGAGCAGATTCAAAAGGTTTTCGTAATAAGCATTAAATTTCTATCGGAGTTTTGATATAGCCAAATGCAGGACTTTCTCTGTGGTGTTCTCTCTGTAGTTTGTGAGCAGTATTCTTCTAGTTATATTTGTGTGAACTGTGATGCATCTATTTCCTCTCTTTTGGCTATTATTTTCATTCCATTTCAACTTTTTCGCTTCACCCTCTTTGGGAATTTGTATTCTTGAACATTACCAGCCTGTTGCTACCTCAAAGAAGGCAAATTTTGTAAATGCAGTTATGATTATTGGTCTTACACATGGTTAATGTCTACAGGATGAACATGAAAACGTGTCTCCTCAAGAGTTGGATATGTATTTGCAATTTGATGTGGTCTTGAGTGATGTCTCTGCCTTTTTGGTTGATGGCGATTACAACTGGAATCAAATTTTTGGCAAAGATATTCATGAATCTTCCCGTGTAACAGAGATTAATATATTGCCTGTTATTGATAAGTGTGGGGTTATCTTAACGCTGCAACAGGTAATCTTCCTCTAATTTGTATGTATTTATTTTCTGAGCTGCCTATACATGCTATTCAGTAGGCATGCTTAACCTTTAATGTTTACTTGCCTTATTCAATGCAGATTCGATTGGAGAATCCGTCTTACCCTTCAACAAGGCTTGCAGTGCGATTGCCTTCGTTAGGATTTCACTTTTCACCAGCAAGGTATCATCGACTGTTGAAAATTCTGAAGATCTTCCAGGGGGATAATACAAATTCAGATGTTCCTCAACCGTGGAATCAAGCTGACTTTGAGGGGTGGCTATCTGTTCTTATTAGGAAGGTTGTGCTTGCTATCCCTTGAGTTGTTATCTCCTATATTCTGCTTATTTATAAATCTGTAATTTCTTTCATTATTTCCCATTTTGTTAATAGGGTGTTGGAAACAGGGAGGCTGAATGGCAACTGCACTACTGTTGTCTAGTAGGGCCCTATCTCTACTTGATTGAAAGCCCAGGATCCAAATCTTACAATCGCTATATCAGGTTCAAATACTATGCAAATTAGATCATAATCGGCTGTATGCATTACTATTCCGAACATATCATTTTAAGAGATGTGAAATTGGAAATGGTCGCCAGAAATTATGTATTGAGAGGTGCATAAACCTATTTATAATATATAAAAAAACAAATAAATCTTTAGATATTAGGTAACAATAAATCTTATTAAATCCATACAAGGTAACAATAAATCTAGATAAATCCTTAGATACATGGCAATAATAGAGGTAAATTAGGAAGGTCAACTACTTCCCTTATTTAATGAGATTACACAAATATCTTTTAATTCAAGGTTATTCTTTCAACACTCCCCTTCAAACTGAGGAATAAATATTATCCATTTCTAGCTTGGATACTAATTCATGAAACATTGAGTTGGCCTTCTGTTAGTGTATCTATTAGTTAAAGTTGCGAGGGCAGTAACTAATCCATGCTATCCCCTTCTCTTGCTTCTCCATGTACAATGTTGATAGATTTCAATATGTTTTGTCCTGTCATGCTAGGTAGGATTATGTGCAAATTTGATAGCTAATTTTTTGTCACAGTACAACTTTATCAAACATTCTCCTTTAATTTGTAAGTCATCAAGGATTATCTTCAACTATAAGAGTCCATATAGCTTTTGTGCAATAGATTGGAATTCTAATTCGTCAAAAGATCTAGCAACCACATTTTTTTACTCCTCTATGTTACCAAATTACCTCCAAAAAAAAAGTATATCCCATAGTAGATTTTCTGTCCACTATTGATCCAACATAGTCAACGTCGGTGTCAGCTTCCAACGCAAGAGAATTATTCCGTTTGAATAATTCTTTTTCTTGAAGTTCATTTTAGGTAGCGTAACACTTTATATGTTGTTTGAAGGTGAGGCTCCCCCAAACCATGCGTAAAATGACTAACTACACATTGTTTATGCTATGTTTGATCGAGTGTGAGTTAGATATATAAGCCCTCTGGCACATTTCTCTGTTTACCATAACGTCCTCTTCTGAGTTTTATCGTTTACGGATGTGGAAAAATTGCTTCGTTCAATTCCTTAAAAAATGGCTAAGATGATTCACAATGAATACTTCATTGCTTCGATGATTATTTGTCTTGGTATATTCAGAGTTTTCCTTTGGCATTTGTTGTCTTGGAGAGGCGCTTTTGGTTTGTGTAACTTTTGACATTTGGCTGCCTTCATAATTGGAGGTTATTGGTTGTTGTCATTTTCCAAGAAGCCCTTTAATATATGTAACTACCCAATTTTCGATACCTTGAATCACAAGTCGCCACGTAAACTCAAGGGTAAAAAGAGCCGTAAATTTTTTTTTTTTTTTTTTGTTAAACAGGAGACACAAGGAATTTAAAATTTAAATATGTATTCAAAGTGACATAAAAGTAGTTTAAAGGTAATATCCGCGAAGTCAAATCAAAACGATTTATAAAAGATACTTACGTTTCGAGAAGTAGCATTTGAAATAATAATAAAATGATAAGAAGGAAGACGACTAGATTTGAAGGGCACTCCCCTGCAGCTGCATGGCAACGAATGCTCTCGTCATCAATCGTGGTCTACAGTCCATTTGAAAAATAAAGAATAATAAGGACCAGTATAAAAATACTCAGTAAGCAACCTACTTGTAGGTTCTTGTCGGACTTAATCCTATACGTCGAAAACTTAGACTATGTGCTCATAACTGTCTCTAGTGTTAGCCAAATTGTGGTTTAACGTCTATACCAAGATTTGTAGGTCACTGTGTAACTAACCCTTAGCATACCTCTTTTAAGGAGTACTCAATCCCTCTTAGGTTCATAACCTAGGCTTCGACAATCTTGCGCAAAATGCCCCTCGAGTCGGTGTGGCCCATGGAAAGGCCTTAGGGTAATACTCATAAATTTGGGGGAGTCCGTTTTGTTTGAAACAGTGACCATATCCCATACACATCTACCTACTCATCTTTAATAAGTGGATTCTCTCTAGTTGTATCGGGCAACATCTGTGTTCTTAAGATTAGTAAACTTCTTGTCACTATGCCTTTTCAGGCTGAAACAGTAACCTACCTACTTATGTACGCTCATCAAGTTAGAACAATAAAACTACCTGTCTTAAACATAGTAGCTACGTGTTACTTTGACTTTCTAGACTTGAATAGTAAAACTACCTATTACTATGCCACTCAGGCTTTAACAGTAAATAAAAACCATTGCTCTTCCCACTAGGCACCATTGATAGTACTTTAGTAGTATACCCTCTATGAACCCTAAAATCATCTGTGGGTGACAACTAAGCTATGTGTAACAAGTAGACCCTAACCCCTATTGGTTAGTTCACGAATTGGGGTAGTGCTCTATCCATCCCTACAAGGTATTTGGTCAACCCAAGGAGGCTAAGGAACTCATGACTAGGTACTACGACCATAATATGTGAAACAATAACTCATAGTCTATTGATACACAACTAGCACTCTATGACACAGCGATAGTCCAACTTTTAACTAGGCAATAACGGGCTATCCAAACCCTAAATCATGCATAATAAATGTTTAAGGGCATACAACATGCTCGAAATGCTCATTAAGTGATAATGATCCAACCGCAGCATATTGGAAAACATAGAAGTCTAATGATCTATTAGAGTTCAACATCATGTTGCGGAAGATATATAACTGTAAATAGAACTAAGTGGTAACTGTTCCCATTATCTAAGCACAATTATCATGAGACTAGGTCAAACTAGTCTCCTAAACATAATACTCCATCATTGCCCTCGATCCTAATTGACTCCTACAAGTATTTCTTAGAAACTTGCTCCATATGGTTACCTACTTGATTGTAGACTTCTCGAGCTTTTTCGGGTCTTCGAGGATATTCTAAATTTCTCCAAAATTCTTCAATATGCCCTAAATTAAGTTAAAATAATAAACGGTTGAAAATGGCTAGCTTCAAATTTGCTAAAGAGAAGGTTAAGAAACTAACCTGTACAGTCATCTTGCTTTCCTTTTTTTTTCTTCTTGGAAAAAATCTTTTATTTATTTTCTTACAATACGAGGTGTCCGTATACTGTGGTTTAATGGGCAACATTAATTTCACGTTTTGTTTAATAGTAAGCAAAGCTGTTCAACTGCATTTTTACTTTGGACTTTTTGGCTTCTGCCTTCTTCCAAGATGATGTTTTGGTTGGGGATTCATGATTGTTTTCAAGACAACATTTAATGAGGTTTTTCAAGACAACATATATATATATATATTTGGTGGAGTCTAAAATTTATTTTCAAAGGCTCTCTTTGAGATTTATTTTCAACATTTCTTATGGAGTCAAATCTGCTATCTAGTGCTAGTCGAGAAATTGGATAGAATTCGAAAAGAGAAACTTCTTTGATTAGTAAAGTTCCTTAAAAGGAAGATTGAGATTTTTGCCAATACTTGATGGAGCTTTCAGAAGTCTATTTCAACTTTCATGGGGAGTTCGATGCTAATTCTCTTGATTCAATTTGATGTATTCGTTCTTTGGTAAAATTTTGTGTTTATCATTTGTTATGGGCTGTAGTTTCTTTTTGTTTCTCTTTACTTTTTCATTTTCACTCATTCTGGAATTCGTACACTTTGAGTGATAGTCGCTCTTTTCATCTTTTCAATGAAAACGTCTTGCCCGAATAAAACAAAAAAAATTGGAGAATAGTTATTTATTTTTAATTTCTTGTCGAATTTGGATGCTTTTATTTCCCTTCATTAGAATACCATATTTTCTTTATATACTTCACATTTAGGAGTTTGTCTCCTTTGAACATTCGTTGTATTTATTGATTATATCACGTATATAAGTTCATATCTTGTAATTTAAAATTTTTTAATTAAATTAATGTGAAGTACTGTGCATGGACTTTCCTATAGTATTATTTATCTCTCTTCTAAAACAAGGTTAAAAATGAAGATGAGAGGAAGGATCCTTTTCCTTGAAGCCACCAAATAGGGTTGGTTTAGCTGGGGAATTTGGCACTAAAATGCATGGTGTTTTCATAGTCCATTGGGCTTCAGAGGAAATCTCTTGTTTCTTTCTGTCTTTAATGTGACTGATTAGAGAAGTGCATTTATATGAAGCTATATTGGTGGTGTTGCCTTCTCTTGCAACAGTCAACTAGCTATATGATTTAGCATTATCCTTAATTTTATTTGATGTAGCTATATTTTCTGATTTAAGTGCTTTTTTTATTGATCTGGGTAAGCTTAAGAGGAAAACAAACCGTTCAACTGCCGGCAGAGTTGGTTGGGGATGTGCAACATGTTTTGGCTGTTCATGGTGCTTCACGATCAAATATTAAGGTTAAAATTGTTTTATGCTATTTGTGTACATGATTGATCTCTGTTGAGCATCTTGCTCACTCAGCTTTATAATTGTGTTGGGTTTAGGTTGTGGAGGATGCTAGTGCCCTCATATTGAGGTGTGATTCCGATGTTTCAAGAAAAATTTGGCAAAACCGCTTGCAAGGGGCTATATATCGTGCTTCGGTATGTGATTATCTGTTGGATTATGTCATTACTTGTGTTTGTCTTTCATTTGGGTTTTGATGAGATGCAGATTAGTTTACTTCTTGTTACTTTATTTCATTAGGGATCTTCCACATTATACTGTTTTTATAATTGCTTGTGCTGTGTGTGGTTGTTCTGAGTTCTAATGTATGTAAATGTCTCGTTCAAAACAACTGTGAGAATAATTAAGTACTCTTCTTTTCTCTTGGTTTCATCTCTCATCAGCTTACATATAATGTTGTTTTACTAATCATAACGATCTTTTCGGATTTTATAAGAAATCCTTGAAATTGAGGTAAGATAGTTCAACTTATATGGGTGTGCTGACGGTGTAAGAGCTGATTTTTTGTTTTTACTAATCATCTATATGTTTTTATGGATATTTTTCTATTAGCAACTAGTTCTAATAACTGTTATAGTGCTTGTATTAGTAAGGTTATTTTATTGTAAATATATGTTGTCCTTCAAGGTCTTTTTACTCTCATTTACTTAGGTTCCCTTTGTACACTTGTATTAAATTATTTCTTTCTTATTTTGGTCACTTTTTATGGTTTTATGATTAGGTTATATATATATATATATTGTACATTCTTTGAATTACTCTTATTGTATTCAGTCTAATGTTGGTTTTAGTTGTAAATATGAAAAGAAGTATCATATAACATTATGCTAGATGAGCACAACAAAACAATAAAACCGTAATTTGTTAAACCCTAGCCACCACCACCCTTTCTATCGTTGCTGCCATCACTGCCGAACATCATAGCCGAACGACTTCCCCTTGGCCTATTCTTGATCGTGGGTCTTCAACACACGATTTAACACGGGTCTCCTCTGCAACTTCTAGTGGTCTTCGACGTTAGAGCTTGATCTCCAATGGCATTTGCTTGAGTTTTTCCTTCCTCCATCGTGAATGTTAGTTTTGGTTTATTAGTACCTTCTGTACATCTTCCTTCTCTATGACTGAGTTCGACTCCTCTGTTTAGTGTTAGACCATCCGCACAGGTATGTGTCTTCCTCTTCTTCCAAACCTCCCGAACTTGTCTCCATCCACATAGGTATGATTCATCTTCACCTTCTCTGATCCCAAGTCAAATTTAGTGGCCACAGTTATATTCAGTGGTTGCAATCAATTAGAATATTCATTTCTGGTAAGGGTAACGACAATTATTTCTCGAATGAGCATGTGCTGCTCAAACCAACCGATCTTGAATTCAAGAAGTGGAAAGTTGAAAATATAATGGTCATGTGGTGGCTAGGTAATTCTATGTCTAATGAAATAGGTAAGAATTTCTTTTTATTTGAAACAACACATCAAATTTGGGATGCTCAATCAATTATTCTGTATAAGAAGAATACTTCAGAATTTTTTCAAATAGAATCAATCTAAATATATATAGAGAGAGAATTATCGATACATAGAGAATTGGAAAACAAACTAATCTTAATCTTAATATATATATATATATATATTATTAAGAAACGATCATCAAGAAATGAAAAGTGATTAATGCTCGAAAGATGCGAAGCTTCCTAAGAGGAATGGAAATAAACAACTAAAAAAGATTACAAAAATGTATATAAGTATCTATCCAAATAATACCAAATCTTTTTCAACAAAGAGTTTAAAATAATTATACAAACAAAACAACGAAATAAAGGAAAAGAACGCTTGGCTTCGAGCAAAAGTGACTAACAGATAGTATGTTTCGGTGAAAGTCTTCAACAAAAATTCATCGATCTCTATATTGACTGAATGTGCTCTAAATTCTTCACTGCTCACACTAATATCAGATGTTTCATCGGATTCATATTATGAACGATTGGAGAGAAAATAGAATTCTTTGTAGTGGGAAAGGTGGTGGAATACCTAAGGCGATAACATCCTTAGTGGTGGAATAGCTAATGATACCTTTGATTAAAGTGACATTTGAACATGGTGGAGTGACCACTCAAAGAGTAGAAGAGTTAGTAGATTGTAAAGGAGATTGCTGTAACTTTGGAGAGGAAGTGAAGAGTCGAATACAAGCTTCTTTCAAAATGTCTAAATTAGTCTCTGAATTTTCAGAGATATCAGAACAATCTTTCTTCTAATTATTAAGAAGGTGGTAGGCTTCAATGTCTATTTATCATTTTAGAGACGTGAAGTGTAGGTTTGGAAACGATCAAAATCTGAATAAACGGCTGAGAAGACCAAATATTATTTGTTTGCATAGCCCGAAGGTCCTTCTTGAATAAAAAAAAACATTAACTTATGCAACTTATCATGTAAAGAAATAAAATTCAATTCAACATCTTTGGCCATATGATCATTTCAGTCTCCATCTTTGGGGAGATCTAAACTTGACCAAATGAATAGTCTTGGAGACATCCTAACTTCCTTATGAAAAAATGTGCACTGGATTTTGCAACAATTCAATTAGAGAGTTTTTAGCTCAAATAAGATGTGTGGTATAGAGGGGATCTGTCAGCTTGTTCTTCATATATCTAATAAAAATCATGTCATTTTCATATCAAATGCAAAAGTAAAGGTTACACGTACAACAACTCATCACCTACATGTAAATGGATTGGCGGCGGCAGTTGAAGGAGCGGATGGGGGAGGAGGGAAAATGATGAACTAGTTGATGAGAGGAGGAGAAAGAAAGAAGAGAAAAAAAGGGAATGGGAAACGGTGGTCGAAGACGACATAAAAATGATATTGGGAACTGATGGGGAGGAGGAGTGGCTAGAGTTTAAAGAAGAAAATTGAAGAGATAGCGACCAGACGATGCCTGAAAAAACCAATATGGAGGTGACTAAGGTTAAAAGAAAACAAAGGCAGGATGATTGAGGGGTGACAAAACTTCGGAGGAAGATGTTTGGCATGCGACAAACAGAAACAACAGGGACTGGCGACCGAAGGTGACCAGTCAGATGCATCTTCAGTGGTCTGAGGCTAAACGGTATGGTGACCAGAATTTTGGAAACGAAAGGGTTAGGAGGAGAGAGGAGAGAGCGAACTCCAAGAAGGGAAGGGTCTTTTAATCCTAATACTAATTAACCAAAGAAATCAATCCTAATACTAATTAACCAAGAAAATAATCCTTATACTTATTAATTAAGTAATTGACCAAGATACCCTACTACATCATAATTACCCTTTTGATGTTATTTATATTAATTAGGATGTTTCACATTGCTTACATCGCTGACATTGCATTATTAAGATTTTGGTTTGGTTTTTATTTTTTTAACTACTTGGGAGTTGTTATAAAGCCTTTCATCTTTTTTTTTTTTTAATTATTCTTTTTCATTAATCAATGAAATATTCATATTTGGTTTAATTAACTAAATCAACTGTTGGATTAGCAATGACTTCATCAAATGAAATCAACTGATAATTACAAATTCTGCTGTCAGTTTTTTTTAATTGAATTTTTAGTGATATTTAAGAATTACCTTAATATTTGTATAGGCCTCGGCTCCTATTTTGGGTCTATCTGAAACTTCCTCAAACTCCGAGGACTCGGAAGTTGAACCAGATGAAAGTGATAATATGATGGATTCATCTATAGAGAGGGTTTTTCTGACTGGTTCTCTTGATGAACTTAAAGTCTGTTTCAGTTCTAGTAATCAGGTATGTCAGAAAACTTCGTTGTTTTTGAAATTTACTTCACAATACTTTTTAAAAATGTTCATTGTCATTCCCTTTTCAGCATGACCAGGACTTTGAGAAGGTCCTTCTTGCAGAAGAGAGACATTTGATTGAGTTCCGGGCAATTGGTGGTCAGGTACATAATTTTAATTTGTTTGTTTATTTACCTATATTCTATGTATGTTTTTCAGATTCTCTTCTAAGTGATACATTTGTGCAAAATAGGTTGAGTTGTCGATTAGGTCAGATGACATGTTCATTGGCACTATACTGAAGTCTTTGGAAATTGAAGACTTAGTTTGTTCGAAGACCAGTTCTCAATCTTGTTATTTGGCAAGATCATTTGTTCATGGGGAAGAGACACCTTCGTTTTTTGACTATTCAAAAAATAAAGGTTCTGATAACAATGATTCGACTCAAATTGAAGGTGATGAGAAATTCTTCGAGGCACCTGAAACCTTGGTTGACTATGCTGATTATCAGATGCAATCACCTGGAAAAGGACTCGATTATGTAAAATCTCAAAGTTCTGTCCAATTGAAAAATTTTGCACCCCCCAGTTTTTCACGTATTGCAGGTTTGCTTCCACCTGGTGTCTCTGAAACTCATAATGCGGATAATGAGCAACCTGTTACATTAGATAATTTTGTAAAAGCTCAAATAGCATTTTATGACCAAAATTCTCCTCGATACTATGATGTAGACAAACAGGTCTGTCCCTATCTCTCGCTCGATTATATATTATCCACTTGGATTTTGAATTTAAAATATTGAATTATTGTCCCAGGTTTCTGTTACCTTGGCTACATTGTCATTTTTCTGTCGTAGACCCACAGTTTTAGCCCTTATTGAGTTTGCCAATGCCATCAACCTTGAGGAAGAAAGTTGTGAATCATTGAGTGATAATTCATCATCAAGCATCATAAAGCATAATAGCCAAATCGAAGAGGATGAACAGATTCCAAAAAACATGGAGGATGGCATTGTGAAAGGTTTGCTAGGAAAAGGGAGGTCTAGAGTTGTATTCAGTTTAGAATTGAAGATGGCTCGTGCACAAATTTTTCTAGTGAAGGAAAATGAAAGTAATCTAGCAAGTTTGTTTCAAGACAACTTGCTTGCTAATATCAAGGTTTTGTTTCAAAGTCCCAATCTTACTCCAATAGACGTATTGATTTTTAAACTTTGATTGTTCTTGAGATCTCTCCTTTTCTTCCTTTCAGGTGTTTCCGTCCTCTTTTAGTATTGAGGCTGCCCTTGGAAATCTGAGAATAAGTGATGATAGTCTTTCAAGCAGCCACATATATTATTGGGCATGCGATATGAGAAATCCTGGTGGCAGTTCTTTTGTTGAGGTTCGCTCTCTCTCTCTCTCTCTCCCTCTCGCCCTCCCTCCCTCCCTCCAACGCACATTCATATGTATGTATGAATATCTATTAATCTTACGAGCATGTAGACAGTGGCAATCTTGCATTATCATTTGTGGGACGACATTTTGTTCTTTTTATCCTTTTGGCCTATTATTATCTTACACTGTATTGATTTCCCTTTCGATTTATGATAGTTCTCCTCAGTGTCTTGTATAAAAAAATATTTACGATTGCATGTCTTTGAGATTATATGAAAGTGAATGCATATCTCCCAATTGTTATTTGTAAAGCATAGGAGTCAAACTTCAGATCTCCTAAAATTTGTTCAGAACGGAAGTAAATTAATGGGTATTGAGGAGAATAGAAGAAACGATGAGTAGCAGTGTGTAGTAGCTTGAAGATTCTGTATTTTAATATTTTCATTTTGGAATAAGGCAGAACTATGTAAAGAATATAAGTAACAGAAAAACAAAGTAACCTAAACTACAATGCAAACTAAATATCATAGGTGTGCTTACACAACTTGTACGAATTGAGGTCTCCAGCTGGAGTTCTCTTTCTAAGCATCTACGCGGGTTATTCTTTTTCAAGATATTAGTAACGAATTGGAGGATTTCTAGTAGAGTTCTGATTTTTTCGATCTTTGTTTTGTTTTTTCTACCTGCTTTCTTCCAGTCTAACATTTTATATATATATATATATTTTTTTATTTGTTCTCTTTGCTAGATAAATGACCATCTTTCTTTTCTTTCTTTTCTTTCTTTTCTTTCCTTCTCTAAAAGAAATAATAATAAAAAATAAAAAAATTCTTGTAGTATTCATCTAAAGTGAGTTAGAAATGGGATCTTCAACTTCTATAAAAATCCTGAAATTCCTCCCAAGTATACTAATAACACCTGTGAAACGACACTAAAATCACCTAATGTCGGTTGATACATGGAACACTGATCCAACCCTCTTTGATAGGAATATATAAATATGAGTTTGGTTAGTCGAAGATAACTTGAAGCATTGAACAAATGATTCAAAGATAAATGACAATGAATGGCGCAGAATGAGTTGGTATTTAAATGCTGATTGGTGTTGTCTCTGAAAAAATAGTTTGGAAGATGCTCATCATATCTTTCTTTTCTGTTAGTTGGTGGATGCTGTGTGGTTCAGACTTGTAGATATCTTTCATTTCAGTGTATATCCCGTAGACATTAAAGTTTTTTGTACTCTGCTTTTGTGTGCGTGGTTTGAGAGAATAATGCAAGTATAAAAATTGTTCCTTGCATTTTACAATTTTAAGTTTATGGTGTTTCTTTTTTTTGAAGTTTGCTACATATTGCAGCTCTTCTTTTCTTCGTACAATGTCGATGATGAAGATTATAATGGTTATGAATACAGTCTCCTGGGGAAGCTTTCAGAAGTACGCGTTGTGTATTTGAATCGATTCATCCAGGAGGTAATCCTTATACTGATTATTATCTTTCCATGTTTTACGCGATTCTATTATTCATAGTCATAAAATTATTTGTAGGTTGTTAGTTACTTTGTGGGTCTCGTCCCAGAAAATGCTGAGGGTGTTGTGAAGTTAAAAGATCAAGTAACAAATTCAGAGAAGTGGTTTACAACTACTGAAATAGAAGGCTCACCTGCTTTGAAGTTGGATCTTTCTCTTTCAAAGCCTATAATATTAATGCCTCGAAGGACAGACAGTCTTGAGTGAGTTTTAATGCATATGTCATCGTTTCAACATTTCATATGACATGTATATTTATTAGCGGGTATTGTCTTTCCTTTATTATAATTATTTACATGTCCTGATTTTTCTTCGGCAGTTATTTGAAGCTTGATATTGTCCACATTACCATTCAGAACACATTTCAGTGGATTTCTGGGAGTAAAACAGACATGAGCGCCGTGCATCTGGAAATTTTAACTGTAATGGTGAGTTCTATTGGGGATTTGTTTGAAAAATTGTTGATCAGCACAATATCTGTGTAAAAATGGCCTTTGAACTAATTTTGGAATGGAAAAAGGTTTCTCAAACAATAAAATTATCGGCAATTTTCTTATGTGGCGCAGAATTAGTTTTTTGAATAGCGTTAGATTGTAACAATGTCGCAGTCTGACCACTGTATGATATTCAGATCGATGATATCAATTTAAATGTTGCCGTGGGTGCGGAATTAGGGGAAAGCATAATTGAAGATGTCAAGGGGGTTTCAGTGGTCGTCCGCAGGTCACTTCGGGATTTGTTGCACCAAATACCAAGTTTAGAAGTTGGAATTCAGGTAGCCATATCAACTATTCCATTTTTCATGAAAGTATTCTTCTACAATAAGTCTGGTTACAGATGCAATTAAATTTTTTTTCTTTTTTCTTCTCCGGCTGTCATTTTATCAGATTGAAGTGTTGAAAGCAGTTCTTTCAAACAGAGAGTACCAGATTATTACTGAATGTGCAATGTCAAATATCTCTGAGACAGCAAACGTGGTGCCTCCATTAAAAAAAATTAATGCTTCTTCAGCTGATATAATAGAACCTGCTACTCGCCAGGTTCTAGATGGGACAGAATCTGAAACAAGTGAACCGTCCTCAGTGTCAATGAAACTCTCTGTAAATATTGACCTGGTTCAGTTGAGCTTACGTGCAGGAATATCAGGAGATGCATCGTTAGCCACTGTGCAGGTGTTGCATCACTAACTAAATTTTCCCTCCTGCAGCTAATTTTCAATATTAGGATCCATGTAATTTAAACATAGTTTCTAAGTAACTCTCCTAAAATGAACTCCTTATTTCATTATGGGTAGCAGTATTCAATTTTAGTTTTATTTTTTAGGAAAGGAAAGTGGATGATATATTGAATTAGAGAATAAGTACAAGAGAGGACACTTGTATAAACGCTCGCTAGTTCGTTAGGAGTAAAGAAAGGGATAAATGCAATGCATTTTTTATTTTAGGGTTCACGATACTGTGAGTAGTCAAACATCATCCATGAGTTGGTCAAGCGAGGGAACACTCTTAAGGGACTATGCAGTGTTCAAAGTTCTTAGTACAAAAGACTATCCTTCACGAGGATGACAACGAACTAACAAAATATAATTACTATCTCAACAAGCTTTAACTTCTTTTTTTTTTTTTTTTTTTTTTTTTTTGAATTTTATGAAAAGGAAATGTTAGGAAACAAACTTCATGAGTGAGGAGGAAAAAGAAAGGAAAAAAAGAAGGAAAAAAAAACAAGCAACTCAAGTAGGAGCATTACTACCAAGAAAGATGTAAAAATAAAATCAGAAACAATGAGCCAACAAACTAAAGGATTTGGGGACAGCAGCAATAAGAAGCCACAAGGCTCCAACTAGACCCACCAAAATAAAATTCCGTGAGTAAGAAATCAAAGACATGAGAACATTATATTATAAATGAAGCTCATCTTTTTTAAAGAAAAGTTAAATATATTATCCCACGCTTTTTCCTTTTTATTTTTAAAGATCTTTATTCTAGGCCCATTTATCAAATATGTCCTTTTCACTTCTATAGTTCTTGTTCCACGTCAAATTTTCAGCTTTTCCTTCGGTATCTCGAGTAGATTCTATATTTCATATATTGCATTAGCAATTCTTTATGTGATCTGCTTTTAAATTGTATTTTGCAGGCTAATAAGGCATGGGTATTATACAACTCCAATACAAACGGTGAAGGTTTTCTTTCAGCAACACTCAAGGATTTCACTGTTCTTGATGAACGTGATGGAATTGAACAGGAATTCAGGCGGGCAATAGGAATTGCTAACAGCACTGGCACAGTTCAGCTGCACATACCGACTGATGAGCAGAATCAATTCAGAAGTGATGCAAGTACTATAGATGAAAATGTTTCTAAAGCAGTTCCTACAATGCTTATTCTTGATGCAAAATTCACTCAGTTTTCAACATTTGTCTCGTTATCAGTTCAAAAGCCTCAACTTCTTGTTGCACTTGATTTTCTCCTGGCTGTTGTTGAATTTTTTGTTCCAACCGTTGGCAGTATATTATCAGATGAGGAAGATAAGAGCTATTTTCATGTTACTGATGCTGTTATCTTGGATCAGTCACCTTATATGCAGCCATCTTCTAAACTGCATATATCTCCTGGGAAACCATTAGTAGCAGATGATGAAAATATTGACCATTTCATCTATGATGGTAATGGTGGAGTAATGCACCTAACAGATAGAAACGGAGTTGAACTCTCAGCACCTAGTAAGGAGGCAATGATATATGTTGGGAATGGGAAGAAATTGCAGTTCAAAAACATCATTATCAAAGTATTATTCCTTGCCCATAATTTTCTGTTAACTTCTATTGTTTGCATTAAAATTTAACTTAAACAATACCTTTAATCATTGTAGGGTGGACAATTTTTGGATTCTTGTGTTTTTATGGGTACCAACAGTAGTTATTCAGCATCTAAGCAGGATGAGGTGTACTTGGAGTTGGGGGATAATGTCGTCCAGCGAAGCCCTCATGAAGTACAATCTCAAGATATCACCAGCAACAAGTCTACTGAGTATACTATTGAATTGCAGGTTGAATACTGAACTATCTTGATTAGCTCTTGCAATGTGATTTATCTATTTCCTACAGCACCAGGCTCATCGGAATAAATACAATTAATTAGTCACAGTCTTCAAAGGAGGAGGAAAACAAAAAATAATTAATTAGTCACTATCCTAGAAAGAAAAAGAATAAAAAAAAATGACATCCTAATACAAACATAAAAAGACCTAAAAATTACAAAAATTAAGGAGGAGATGATTTTCTAATTTGATATTTGAGAATATCGTTACTTTGACATTAATTCCAACACTCATCCTCAAGGTGGGTTGTATATGTTGCAATCCCAACTTGTCATTCAAATCTTCAAAGTTAGGTCTTGGTAATGCTTGGTGTGGATACCACTCGCTGTTGGTTGGTAAGCACATAGTTAAGTTGAACTACTTCATTGTTCACCTTTTTTGAGATGAAGTGTCGATCAATTTCAACATGTTTTGTGCTACATTGTGAATTGGATTCTTTGCCATGCTTATTTCTGGCTTGATTGTCACATATTATTTGAATTGGAGATAAACAACTTTTTGCATCCATAATCCATCACACATGCCATGAGCAAGAGCTCTAAATTCTGCCTCAGCACCACTTCTTGCAACCACAAACTGCCTTTTACTTTTCCATGGTACAAGATTACCCCATACAAATGTGCAATAACCTAAGGTAGACCTTTGATTTATAATATTACCTAGCTAGTCTGCATCGGTTCTTGCAAGTATTTCTAAAAAGTAGTAGTTTTCTTAAAGACATCTTCAGATATCTAAGAAATCAGTATATAATTTCCATGTGTTTTCCATTAGCATTGTGCATACATTGACCAACTATGCTGACAGCAAATACAATATTTGGGCATGTGTTCAAAGATGAATTAGGCGTCCTACAAGACTGTCAACTGGCGTGCTTTCATAATTAAATCCAAGTTCCTTTTGTGAGTCTACAAGAGACTCCGTGGTTTGCACTCCAGCATCTTGGTTTTTTTTTTTTTTTTTTTTTTTTTTTTTTTTTTTTT